AAGAAGTGTGTCCTCATTAACTGGCTCCGCCGGATTAGAGCTTGACCTCTTGTCAACATCACCCCTTGTTGGCCTAGGGCCAATTTCCCTTGGTTCCTCACGCCGTGACATCGTTCTATAAAACAAAGAAAACAGTTCAATAACAATAACACTAAGGTCCAACCGTGAACAACTCAATATAAAAGGATGCTATACTAACACCTAGCATGCAATACTATGCAATGAACACATTAATATAAGCACATAAGCACGTAAACAAGTAAACAGTTAAGCATGCCTTTTCACGTAGCAAAACACTTTTGCAAATAAGGAATTAACAATGCAAATGACTTCCCAGAGGTAGGCCTCTACCCGTCGTCCTAATGGTTTTCGAATTAAGGCTTTGAGACCAAATTTGCAATGACCCTAAATTGATACTATTTATAATATAAAAAAATTCGGCATGACCTTCGCTAAAAATTGTCCTACAACAACCTGTTTAAATGCATTTTTAATCTATCACAACACAATAAACATCTAATACATTCCATGGTGGTACAACCACATACTATATCATCCAGGTATCATAATTACAGTCCCAAAATACAAGATTAATATCAAATGTCCATGCTTTACAACATTTAGACAGATTATATAAAAGTTACAGCCCATAGGTATAATTATAATATTAAAAGTTCATAAGTTGTCGTACAAAATACATTATGCTTAGTCTTACAAAAATAGTGAGACCCAAGTACAAAAACAACAAAATAAGCTTCTAATCCATACTAAGTCTGTGGTAGAATGTCATCCACCACTTCTTTCCTGTTTCCTGAAAAAATGTTAAATAAAAGGGGTGAGCAAAATTGCTCAGTAGGTAGTGCCTATGACACACCTCTTGTGTCCCCGTGAATCCAAACAAGGAATAGGACAATAGGAATTTTAGGTCATGCAAAGCCGGGAAAATATAATATCAATTCTAAGTTCAAACCAAATAAATCTCGTGCCATGAATGCAATGTTATACATGTCACTCCCCATTTTCAGAAAAACATTATTACTTCACAAACTGTTAATATAACCCGCCCTTTGGTGACTCCGCAGCGACATGAGAGAAGGATTGGCTACTGTCCCTGACCTTTGGTACCTCCGTAGCGTCATTTGGGGCCCAGATAGCTTAACCACGTTAAGGCAATCTCCCTAATTCTCTTTAGGCTATATTAACACACCGGCCCTTTGGTGACTCCGCGGCGACCGGGTTTTTCTCAAAAACCGTTTTATTAAATTCTCCCCCAAAATTCCCTTTTTCATTCTTATCAAAACATTGTACCCCTTTTCTTTTATGCCCAATGTTATGGATGCATGTCACATGCTTTTAGCATTTCAAAAACAAAAAAAAAAAATTAGAAAAAAGTTCTACTACACAATTTAGCATGCATCCATATAATAAACACTTAGGCATGACAATTAACATATTAAGCATACTTTACAATAATTCTAGGAGAAATTCCATAAACTTCCATGAATAATTTCTAGCAATTTTATCAACACAATAATATACAGAATCCAATAATCAAGCATATTTTGCATACAATTCAATAATTTCACATACTCACATGCTATATATACAAAATCAAGTCATTTAAGAGGCAAGTTAATCAAATTGATTATGCTTGACAACAATTATGGTAGAATGACTCACAAAGGCACAAGGTAGTGAGAATTAGAGACCCCTACCTCTATGTTATGCAAAACCCCCAATTTTCACTTCAAACCCTCAAAATGGGTCACAATTTTTGGACTCCCTAGAGTAGCCAAAAGCTGAAATTGTTGGTATGGATTTGAAGATCTCGTCGTGGGCTTCAATTTGCCGCAAACAGCATCCAAAATTTCGAACAAATGAGAGAGCAATCAAAGAGTGAAATTTATGAAGCAAGAAAAAGAAAAAATAAGAGAAGTGAGACCAGAAGGCTTCTGTCGGGGAGAGAAAGACTAATGAGGCTTAATGGCCTCTTGGCCACTAAATTAAAAAGCAAGTGGTGGTGGGTCCCACCACTAATATACATATACATAAAAATAACTTAAACATTACACGTGCTCACCCCTTCCATTAATATTTTTCAGGTTATAGCAATGACGCGGTTGAGGATGGAACCTCACAAGTGTAGTTAGGTTGATGGAAACACCATTTGTATTATCTCGTATTAGATGCTTAAGTTAATGTAAATTCTTGTAAAACATTGTAATTGTGACTGGAAGGGTCTAAACTTGTATCTTTATTCCATCGGACTATGTTTTAATGTAAATGATGTAACTCAAAGGTTTTAAATGGATGCCTTGATTTTATTTTCCATACTTATGCATGTTTGATTATATGTGTCTAAAATGACGAGTTATGTTGTCAAATGCATGGGAGTGAGTTGGGAGAAGGTATCGAATGTCAAAACGACCAAAAAGGCGTGACGAAAACAGGTTTCAAGGGTAAAAAAAAAGGCAAGGAGCCCCATTTTTGGGCAGCGTCGAGTGCTCGACCAGGGCGAACGAGCGCTCATCCAACATGGGGGCATGCCGTAGCGCGCGCGGATGTGCCTAACATGTCCCACGAGCGCTTTTGAGGGGCGGGCGAGCGTTCGTTATTTGGAGCGAGCCACTGTTTTTTTTTTTTTTTTTTTTTTTTTTTTGACTTTCTCTAATCCTTTCGAGCCTCTTCGTGTGGGTCCTACATGACCTTTAGGATGTACGGGACCTAATGGCTGCGCCCGGTTACGAGTTGAATGGTCTAAAATGTCATTTTTACCCTTTTTAGCCCTAAAATGGGCAACATTGAACCGAATTGTTTTCTTTCAATTCCAAGCGATTCCAAATGATCATTTATGACTTAGAAGACAGTTATAAGGTTCCCGATGCGTTGCACAGTCCAAAAAGGCCAAATTACCCCTATAACCATAATTGGACCAGTTTAAGGATTAAGTTGAATTCTTCAACCACAAGTGGACCAAAGTGGTTTGTATTGAGTGTTAAGACATTATTAAAGTCTTTAGTACGCGGTATTGGTCAAATAGACCGTTTTACCCTTGGGTGGTTCCGGGTCAGGTCATGACCCGGTTAAGGGTTTGGGTTGGGTTGTTACAATTTATATATTCTTTTTTTCTCAATTTAAACATTATGGTCCCATTTTCTTTATTGAAAAAAAAAAAAAAAACTAATGATCATCTTAATTTATGGCTACTTCAACTCCTAAATACTTTTTTCACCATGCTCAACTTACTCCACTGCATGTTACCACAAGCAATGATTCATAAGTATGTTTTTGAACATAAAATTAAGCACACTCCTGTTTAATGCAACCATAGATAAAAACTTTCATCCAAAGATGAAGCAATGTTTCAAATAAAAGTCAAATATCATTCAGACTAGTAAATTTGGAGGATTTACAAGCCACTATGTCCACCAAGTTTGGATTTATTCATCAGCTATGAAGCTCCATGTGCTCCCTCTTTTACCTTCCAAGATGTGACCATCATTGGCCTTGGAGCTTGTAACAATGAAGACATGCATGACAGTTAAGCAGAACTGCAATTTTTGAAGTTTCAACAATCAAAAAGGTACAAGTAGGTACATGAACTATATGTAGAACACACCCTTGTCATTGCTTAGTTGACTGTTTTTCCCTCTAAATTTAAGATGTTTGGACTATTGAGGTGTAAAACCATGCCTGAGACATCAACAGCTGCTGAATTTCAATGCCACTTGCCTGCAGTAAGATTGAAAAGAGAACAGTTTAAGATTTTACAGGGATTCTTTATACCTAAAATGAACTATAAATATATGAAGACAAATTTTGTATTTGAACTTGATATGTTTTGCTAGTTTTGTATGATTTCACAAATTGGTGAGATATGTGAACTTCTTGCAGACCATTCAGTCTTTAAAGATGTGGATTAGAATGCAAGTTTGAGGTTTTTTTTATCAAGATATATTGCCTTCTATCTAATTTCTCATTGCAATAGGTAAACAATGATTCGGAAACAGAAAACAGATCAAAGATTCTTAGCATATAAGATCTAATTTTATAAATATTTCAAGTAATGCATGTCAAAAACAAATGGTTTTGATAACCTTGTTCACTAATTTTAAATAAATGTTTCTTTTTTAATTAAAAAAAAAATTTGATAAAAGTTTTATAAAACTACACATGTCCATAATTTTCACAACATAAGTTACATACCCAATAATAATTTCATGAAAAAACATATATATTATCAAAATCAAGGACATTACAACTCAGAAAGGGGTTTGTTCAATAACTAAGCTTCCATCTGTAGTTCAGACAGTTGGCCTCTCTGGAAAAGTAACTTTCAAAAGAAAAACTGAATATTTAGAGGATGAAGAAAACTGAAAATTTTGGGAACTGCAAAAGTTGGAATAATTAAGAGCTTAATTTATGAAAAATATTAACATAAGGTCAACCAAGTAAATACAACTCAGATCATTTGGACTTTCAGAGCTACCACATTTCCTTGAAAATTATGTATTCTCAAGTCTTAGACTTTGTGACGAGTCTGTGTGTGTTTCTGATGCCAAACACCAAAAAGAAAGTTCCGAATAAAATATTACCACTAGTAGTGTGAACCGAGAGCTCCATGGAGATGCAAAGCTTGAACTTAAATGCTCTCTCCAACATGGCAAAATGTATGTACACCCTAATATTGTAGTAGAGAAAAAGAGAGAAGAAAAACTGAAACCACAAAAGCAAATTACATAAATAACTGAATACCGGTTTAGTTAGTATATTATAGAAAATGAACTGAAATGAGGAGTCAATCCAAAACATATAGTATGAAGAGATAAAATGGTGTGGGATGTGAAGGAGAAAGGCATTCAATGATCAGTTTATATTTCAGATTAGAAAGCAATTACATGCAAGCGTATTATGAACACGCTCTTCATGAACAATAACAAGATAAACTTACTGAACTACTATTCAAAACCGTACACGAGATTGAATATTTGACTGACAAAAATGTTCAATACAATGCTTAACCTGGCCATCAATGAACACAGATTTAGAGGTCATTCCATCTTGTAGTCCTTAAGCACTCTAGGAAGTGTCACCACTATTACAAAAAAACCTAATGTGGATAAATTCACTCGATCATACCTAGATATTTATTTTCACTCTCACAAAGAAATTTCAAGAATATAAATAGGTATAGAACAAAAACATGTTAAAAATAAAAAGGAAAAAGAAAAGAAGGCACTTCAAAAAGAAAGTACCACGAAAGCAATGGGGATGGAAGTCATGCAACTATGTCCTCTTGGGGCATTTTCACCGAGTGCCTTAGCTTCCGCAGATGATGGGCTATTTCTGCCAAGAGTTTTGTCCCTTCACCACCCTTCTGGAGTGTCATAGCAGCATGCTTTAAAAATCCACTGTCTGCTTCAATTGCATTTAACCTCTCCCGAATTTGAGACATTTCTCTTGTAAGGATGGTCTTATATTCATATCCTGCCAATCCAGAAACACCATTTGGTGAATAGATTACAGGATGGAAACAAAAATTCAAGCAACAACACCTCCAGTCAGGAATATGTGTGTGTGTTTCGAGAGAGAGAGAGAGAGAGAGAGAGAGAGAGAGAGAGAGAGAGAGAGAGAGACGTTAACCTGTGTATTTATCTTCATACTTAACCATGTCTGAATCATTGTGTGAAGATTGAGTCCCATCATCTGAAGGTGGATTAATTTTCTTCTCCAAATTTGTTAACATTCCGAAAAGATAAGATCTCTCGCGCTTAAAATCCAATAATGATTCATCAAGGGTCTCCCCTCCATTTTCTTCCTTCATTAGCTCATTTCCACCATTATGATCCACTTCACTGGGGCAGCCACATTCACTCATGGATGAGAAAGAATGAGAATTCAACTCTTGATAATCTTCATTAGAATCAATTTCATCTTCCTCAGTACCTACTTCGTTTATGTGTCCATATTTTTCTCTATATGCCTCTAGTTCAGCCTCTAGAGCATTGGTCTCTTCCTCTTTCTTGATAACCAAATCCTTCATAGCTTGCAGCTCTTCTTGGTCAAACTCAGCGTTCTCCTCCATCATTCTCTGATACTGTAAGGCCTCCATTATGACTGCAGCTTTCTCTGCTTGTAACCGGCTAATCATGGCCATTGCATTGTTTGCTGCAACAGCTGAGGCGCTCCTTTCTTCGTCCAATTCTGTGTACAATTCTTCAAGCGACTTGTGATCTAAACGAAATTGTCTCAAAATGGAGTCACTATCTTCTCCATTTGTAGTGTTGGCGTCAATGGATTCGAATAACAACTCTGGCTTTTCGCTTTGCAGTTTCCTCTGAAGCCTAGTAGCCCACCTAGGACTTGCTGAAGCTGAAAGTGCAAGTGGGATCCCAAACTTCATGCTTCCTCTAGGGGTCTTAGAGAAATCTCCATTCATATCCTTGTGCTCTCGTAGCAATGGCACGGTAGAATCCTTAATACCTTCTTTTCTTGCTACATAATATCAAACAAAAACATCATATAATGTCATGATACCGTAAGGTTGTTCCCTTAGAGGGACAGGAAAATTTGGTAAGAAATTAGTACTTGATGCAGAAGAAATAACTACTAGAAAGGAACTTAGGACACTGAAAACTAAAGCAATCATGGAAATGAAAGGATTTATCATATTTCAGGAACTACTTCTAAATAAATCGTGATTTAGAAGTAATATTCCCGGTATTCATAATTAAATCATGATCACATGAAATTTACAGAAAATTGTTCTGTTTCTTTCCTATGGTATTTCTTGCTACTCTCATTGATTCTTCCATTTTGATAGTTTCTGCAACTACATGGATTATACACAATTACCCAGTTGCACAAACACTTTTACAATCCTAACTCGTTATTACATGAAGTCCCGTATACAAATCTTGATTTGCTATTGAAATGACATTTTTTCACATTCATCTACAAGAAACAAGGTTAAAAACAAAAAATTAGGCTATTTCAGGATTTTTAACAATTATGTTATGATATCCATTCCATGAAGAAGAAATCTGAAAAAGATTAAAAAAAAAAAATTTCCAAATAATATAAAACAGGGAAAGAAACCTCCCAGATAAACTTACATTGTTTGTGTCCATTAAGTCCATCCTCATCCTTTGGAATCTCTGATTCATTGTCTGACACGAACTTCTTGAGCTTCCTGCAACGAATGTGGGGCAGCTCTAAATTCCTGGATTCCTCATTTTTCCATGCCAGTGTCCATGATCGAGGAGATTGAGCACTCCTTTGCAAAAGAGCACTCCTATTCAGTGACGAACTACGAACCATCCTCTTCGAAGTGGGCTTCATCTTCAGGGTCTCCCCACAACAAGAACACTTGGGAACAACACCGCTAGTACTACTCTTCTCAGCTTTCACCAAATCACCCCTCCTTCCTGATTTCAACTGCATCTTTTGATCATCCTCGACTAAGCAACCGATGTCCTTGTCCAGAACCCCAACTAGGGACTTGTAGGCATCACAATCTGACTCTTTCTCAGCAGCAAACGAAAGAAGGCACCCTTTACACATGCTCTTAATGTCGGAGAGTTTCTGGTGCATATGACAGTAAGCCAGAGATGAAATGTCCTTCTTGTGAGCTTCACAGATACAATCATTGTAGTAAATCTTGGAGTTCCTTTTAAAGACAATGTTATCGATCCTCGTGCAGAGCAAGCATGGTGTTTTCAATTTGAAGAACTTGGCGAATTCGTTGGAAAAAAATGCAAGAAACCCATCGATGAATAGCAAAACTATCAGTGCCCATTCAAGGATGGTTTGTAGCAAGAAATGAGGTAACTTTCCCAACTTTTGCTCAACAAAACGCTTCAATGCCATAATTCCTCTACCTAAAAAGAACGGAATTCGAATACGAAAATATGGCATTTTCTTGATTATATATATACAAAGATATATGTATATGTGAAAATCTAAGTGCGTGATTGAGAGAGATTGAGATGGAGAGATCAAATTGTAAAAAAATTGATGAGACAGATCATGACCTTGGTGGGGAAGAACTAGACCGAGATCATGATCTCTCTCTCTCTCTCTCTCTCTCTCTCTGGATTTTGGGAATGAGAGAGATTGCTGTCAAATACAATGATATCAAAATTTTGGTTATGTATAGAAAACTCACGCGTTATTGTTTCAAAAATAGAGCTATTAGGTGGACAATTATCTTTTAAGTGAATTAACGGTCAATACTGGACTCTCTAACCAACAAAGACAAGGACGAAAACGTTGTCGTTTAGGGGAATATATTGATTTAAAAGTTTCCGATTGCCTTAGTGAGATTATTTTTGGGTCCCTCCAAAAATCTGCCTCTAACTTCCAGTTCTGAATGAAGCCAAGCAGGGCCAAAAGTGAGAAAACATCTTATACGGGTGGAGTCACGCATAGCAAGAATTACATAGAATGGGAGCGTGCGAGAGCGGGAGCCCAAAAAGGGCAAAATCTAAATAGAATAGGAACAGAAGCTAGAGTTCGTACAAAACATGAGAGCGGAAGTGCGTGTGTGGGAGAGTGACACCAATTTATAACTAAGCTCTGGGCCTTTAGGCTATGTTTGATACGGTAGGTTTGAAGGGGTAGGATAATATTAGTTACGAGGGAGAGGGAAAGGGAAAGAAAGGGAAGGGAATGATAATTTTAAATCCTGTCGTTTTTGGTTGATTAGTGAAGGAAAAGAAAGGAAGGGATAATAATTATGTTTGGGAAAAGAAAGAGAAGGAAAGTATTTTTGTAAATTTACTATTATACCCTTTTATATTATAAAAAATAAAGTTATGAGCCTCATAATTTATAGGCCCATGGATGATGGGCCACCCGAAAAACAAATATTAGGGCAAATAATTTCAGCCTTCGCCTCCATCTCTATTCTCGTTCTCAACTCTGAACTTGCCTTCTCTCTCACTCTTTCTCTCTCTCTCTCTCTGCAACTGCAAACTACAAAATCTACAAGAATCAGAAGTTCAAAACCCATTAACCAATAGTGAAGTAGTTAGGTCCGACGGCTTTCATGAGCGGTGAGGAGGTCTGGTCAGCTACAAAATTGAAATTAGCTCCATCCATGTACCTATCACCATGCTTGATTCATCGCCGGACTGAACTTCGCCGCCCACTGGCCGTCACGCGCGCACGCGAGTAGAGCTAATGCGTCTTTTACGTGCACACGCGCCCCTTCGTCTCCGGCGACTGCAATTCTGTTCCAGCCTCTCCTCAACGTAGTGAATTTTGGCACCCTAGAATCAAGGGTAAATTTGGTATTACATTGCTCTCTCCTGCTCTGTCCTCCCCTTTCCTTCCATTCCCTCCCATTTTTGGGAGGTTTACAAAAGTCACTGTTGAGCCTATTTCTATCCCTCCCAAACCCTCCATTCCCTTTCCTTTCCTTCCAACTTTCAATACCAAACACGTTTTTTTTATCACTCTCCATAACCTTTCTTTTCTTTTCATCCCATCTCCACCCTACCAAACTGAGCCTGAATGGACATGCTTTAGCATAATGGTAATGAAATTCAAATCACACGTCCATATTTGAATTGGACCAAATTTACATATAAAAAATATAATACCGCAAATTCAAATATACTAATTGAAAAAAAAAAAAAAATCAAATATACTAAGAATTGGTTGGTGTAACAATATTTGATATGGAATGAGAAAAAAATGTGACAATTTCCCAAGCTAGAATATCTGAAGGTCTTCTCAAACAAGGTGTTAAATAGCAAGAATCAAGAAAACTATGGCCATTAACCAGCAAACATATGACAGACTTGACTCTGGTAGGTGCCTTGAGTAATCAACAATCACATTTCTAAAACTTATCTTCTGATCCAAACTTACTGTACCATGACAACCACTTAGCTTATACCGTTGTCTGCATCATGACATCCAATTAGTTTACAGAGTTGCCTTGTGTGTGTGTGTGTGAGCGAGAGATAGAGAGAGAGAGAGAGCATTGATTTGGCAACTAACTGCATGACACATATGATCAGTACCTTGCTCAGCAACCACACAGCATCAAGGTCTTACAACCATAGAGATCAGAACTGCTTGAGAGTTTTGAAACATACACAGGACTGAAGAACTGCAAAACTTTGACCATCAAAAACACTTGTTCCCGTGTCTTCTGACTACAAAAATCGTGATACGCCATTCATTCAAAACGGTTCAAATTTTCATCCTGTGATTCGTGATTCAGCAGAACCTTTACCATTTCATAAATGATGAGGATTTGCTCATAAGATAAAACACACCAACTACCATAATTGTTCAAGAGCAACCAAATTTCGTATCCCGAAATGTAATAATAAGTAATCACAGTTAAACAACCCAGTGATTATGGTCTTGCATCAATTTATAGCACATCGTTTCCAGTATTAAGTAAACCCTGTAAAATATTCAGAAACACCAGGTCCCGAATTAATAGCATATCTAATCAACTATATGCCATGTGTTACAAACATGTATATATATCTGATATAATTCATTTTGTTTGTTAAATCTGTAGTTAGTTAATCAACTGTAGAGAGACTTGGCAAAAGTTTTTGAATATCAGCAACTGGAATCCGCTAGTTTGTGGGCAAAGGTGAGACATATTCCTGCACCTGGATAGAAATAATAGTTTTATCAAGGAACTGTATAATGGACAAGGTCTCAACGCTATTCTATTCTATTACACACGAACCATTATAACACCAACGCTATCAAGCAATTGTTTCATTATTCTGCAATACATAAATCGGATGTATGAAATCAGTATAGTATCCTACTATCCTGTTAAATGTCCACAAAACGACTTCCTAGAAAACATATAAAGGTCCAAATCATCGTGGGACTTTGTGAAACTGTGAAACTAAACACAGCCTGACAACAAAAAATTACTAGAAAGCAACACACGAAAATAAGAAAATTTCCCAGCAAATATTCTAACAATTACCTATTTAGAATTGAATGGTCTTCCTATATATTTCAATCTTTGACAAGCACTTTCCCCAACCGAGACCCAGTGTGCCATAATCTTATCAATGTTAAAATGACTCATGTAACACCCAGACTACAGATTAGCGCCACAGATATCCAATAATAAGAGAGTAACCTTATTGGTGCAACTAAAAATGAACAATGGGAGGAGAGAGAGAGAATTGTAATCTCAAAAATATTCTAGCTCTCAAGTTCTGTACTATGGGATACATAATTGCGGAGAAACGGAGATCAAGCATGATCTGACACATAAATGAGAACAAGACAAGGGATTTTCAAAGAAAATAAATTTAAAAATTGAATTTCGAGGAAACAAAATTTAGCAGTGTGGCATAATTTGTTACCTGCGACAAACAATCAGGAATTTTGATAAACCCCTGTAGTAAAAGATCAACCTTTTCCAGAGTGTTCGGTGGAACAGGGGTAATGATGGAGAGTAAACGTTTGAAAGTGTCGATGCCTCTTACTATTCCTGGTTCATACAGAATTAAGTAATAAGAAAACATTAGAAGTCAATTTCAGGTTAAATGTTGTTAACTTATTATTTATATTATTATTTGATGATTAAAAGGATAAAACCAAAGATGTTGGTATTATCAACACCATACAATTCTAGGTGAATCATATAAGAAATAAATCCGGCAAAAAAGGCAACATTCACACAGTTTGACTGTCTCTGAAGTAAAAGAAATTTTGGTTTTACAGCAGCATAAACCAACACATACAACAGGCGACCAATATATGACTACCAAATATGTAATATTTATGTTGGGCCAATCATTTTCCATCAAGATACATAAATGTACGCCTTAAAGAAATCATCAATAGAACAGGATGGGAAACAATTCTAAGCAGTAAGTGGCAGTTTATCAACAGGATGTGATTCCATTTAAAACATAACATAAAAACTCCCACTGGTCACTTTATGATACACTGATACTCCAAGAAAGTGACCTACTCCATTGTATACATCCACCTTGCCCCAAACTTCTAGATTTGATGTTTTGCCACACCCAAACGTTGAGGATGTGCAACTCTATTTCTCAATAAATAGTGCATACGTATGTGACTCAATAATCACAGGCTCACAGGACCATTCATATATACCAACCCGATCTTTTAGCATAGCAATTAAACATACCGAAATAGAGTTTCATTTTGTGAAAGGAAAGATTAACTGGAGTCCTTTATTTTGAAGACCACAGATCCGTTAGTAAGTAGATTTAATAAACGACTCGGAAATAAAGTGATAAATCGCAATTCTGAAAAGAGCAGTTAAAGATCAATATCCATCAAAACTGAAGGTGGTTGACAGCACCAGTACCAATCAGCAGTATGGAAATTTCACTTTTTCCTTACCTATGTCTGATGTGAATCTATGGGAAAGTAAAATTTCAGTATCTTTAAGAAGATTCACCATATTGCATCTTGTTTTATAATCATGTCATCTTTATATACTAAATTAGCACCAAGGAAATAATGATAGTCATTAGAAATTAAGTCAAACACCTTGGAGCTTCTGCCATATTATGATTGCCAATACGATCATCCTTCTATATATATATGTTCAAATCTATATATAAAGAGAGAGAGAGAGAGAGAGCTCCTGAGAAACAAGCACTGGGTTCTTGGTAATGCAGTATATAAAATGTAGTTAACTGGGTACTTAGTAATGCGTGATAAAAAATGTATTTGACTGCAATAATTTCAAATGAATGCCAGCAATAATGCAATATATTCCGTAAAAGGATTTGAGAAATTTTATCTCTAAGAGCTAATGCTTAGCTCTAGTGATATCCAAGGTCTTAAAACTTCACGTGTCTTGGCCGACTCGGCCGAGTCATCCCGGACTTGGCTGAGTTCAAGAGCAAGACAGACCGAGTTCTCATCCAGAACAAAAATTACTACTATCTCTTACCACGATTTCGACCTGGGTTTAAAAACCTCCTCTCATTTTTCCCAAATCTGTAAACCACAATACAAAGAATTCCAACCCCTACTCTACCAAACTAAAGGTTTACGACTGAAGACAAAAATTCTCGACTTTTTCAATAGATTTACATTTTGTGTCCCAAACTCGAGATTAATTGGTAAGTTATTATATTTTAGTAAACTCTAATATATATGTATAGTAAAACATATTATGCATACGCTAAAATATATATTTGTTTTGCATAAAACTAAATAAAGTGAATTAAAAATCTGAAAATTAATAAAATTCATTGAAATTTAGTAAAACATCAGAAACAAGTAGCAAATAAGTAACATTATATATTTTTTATGTTGCAACTTCTAAGTTATTAGTATATATGATTTTTGTGAAGATGACATGTTGTTTTAATATGAATTGTGGCCATAAATTTAGTCCGAAGTACAAATTATTACACTGATATTGCTGTCATTACCTTAAGATAAATTTCTCGGCCATTACTCATACAAAATCACCATTGAATTCCATTAAAAAACAGTACAAACATGATTATATTGGATTCCAGAATTGGAAGTTATTTATTGGTTCGTTCTAATCAAGTTCTTGTTAGAGTGTGGCTCATATTTTGCCAAAATTGGGTTTTGGAAGACTTGGACCGGTCCAATTTCTGTGGACTGGTCCAACATGCCTGGGAAACTAAAGTGAAGATTCTGGAAAAGTTGGACCAGTCCAACTTTCCTTGGACCTGTCCAACGTGCCTGATATGTGCGGCCTGATATGTGGGGGAAAGAGTTTCCTATTCCGTTTGGGAAGTTGTGGAGCAAGATTGATATAGTAACTCCTTGTAGACAAGTTGGGGAATTCTTGTCCAACAAGGAACTGGGTTTGATGAATCTATAAATAGAGATGGGTGTGAGAGATTAAGGTAGAGACAGAAAGAGATATTTGTAGAGAGAGAGAGTTAGTTGAGTTTGTGAGTAGAGAAAGAGTGTGTAATCAAAGAATTGAAGTAAAAATAGTCATTCTTCGCCCAACGACGTAGGTGATTTGCCGAACCACATAAATCTCATTTGTTTGTGTGTTTGCTTTCATCTATTTTTGTTCCTAATATTGAGTGAGATCTTGGGGTAATTCCTAACAGCTCTTTACATTGAAAAAATTCACAACCGGTATATAACTCCAGTTACACCCTGCGACTGCAACTTTAAAACCTGATGATATCTCTTCTACTTTCAAGTTTCAATTGGAAGATTAAGGGGTGCAGCTAAGTATGTGTCTTGCCAACCAGAAAAATATGTAAATAAATACATCTAAAACTTCTTTGACAGATAAAAGAAAGATATAATTACAACGGCATTTCTAAGAAGGTAGAGTTACAATAAACCATGAGAGTGAAAAATATTAGGAGAAGCTAAATAGTAAGGAAAACTAACAAATATCCAATGAAGATAGGCAAGACAGAGATGTAAAATAACCCACCTAAACCAACACATGAAGGCAAATGCTCAGGATCTCCAGAACTAACTGCCAAGCCAACAATGGTTGCATTCAAACTGCAGAATAATTCAGCGCTTGGGACCTAGTGTAAAAAAGTCGTATAATAAGCAAAGTAATCTTTCCTGTATATATATAGAAAGAAAAAGCAATGATATAAAAAGTTTCTACTAATGAAAATATCATTGACTTTCTGCCTTGTCATGTTCAAGGCAATCCTAAACTAAAAAGAGGTATATTGCAATTATCTAAGTGGTATTCTTGTAAAATACACCAAAATATTGTATTCTTAAAACAACATCGAAGCACTTGATTCAATTTTCTGAACCAACCTGGCAATGGAGATGTTTAATCTTGATCCTTGACATTGGAATTTCATAAGGAGGGTGAGCAGCCAATGCATCAGCAAGTCTCTTAATCGTCAAGATATCTAAGTCACTTGGAAAGCACTGCCTGAAATAAGCTATCATACGCAAATCCCGCAGAAGGCGTGCATCTTTTTGTGCCAGAACCCTGGAAAACAATAGAGAAATGATGCAACAAAGGAACATACATCTTTAAAAAGTTTCCAAATCTTCAAACAAATCAAAAGCATGATGCTTATTAGTTTAAACTTATAAAATCAATGGAAATAGAATAGTCAAAGCAATTACCCTTTTTTTTGGTAAATAAAGCAATTACCCTTTTCTGAAACAAATTAATGACTTTTCAGTAAGGTAGAATCTAGAAGCAACAAATTCCAAAGAAAAAGTTCAAATGACTTAATCTAGTCTGATTAAAAATCTAACCAACCAAATTCAGACTATGACAAATTAAGACAGTGCTTTTATTCAAACTAATGACTTTACATTAAGTCTAGTTCTTGAGCATAGATCATCTTTTGACAAGAATCAGACTAAAATTTTGGCAAAATAATCAGAACAAGGAGAAAAGGCCAGAAATGTGAAAAAGCGATATGTTTCTACTAGTAACGATGACAAATAATTCCAAGGGGTAAAAAACTACTTCCAAAAGATCATACCAAAAACAAATCGAAAGTTCATCTACAAAGAAAGATTTAGATCCATTATGGCAATGATTGAGAGATTACACTCTCTTGAAAGAATCCTGACGAGCTGAATTGACCTCAATAAGTGTCACTGCCGCATCAACTTCCTGATCCAACCAGAATGCCCCAGCCGGTAGATTCTTACTCTCAGCAGATATGCATGTCTTAACTACATGGGAAGGAGAAATATATTTCAACATATCCACCAGCATGTCATAGCCAATACCTACACAAAGGGGGAATGAGAAACGTAGAGTGATCATTGTAGCAAATGAAATAATACTCAACAAGGTGATTCTATCAAGCAGACAAGTATTATAAGACAAACACAAACTAGTTAATAGTTATAACTTGAAAAGAAAAAGAAGAATAAATGAATGAGCATACCTTTCACCCAGCCAGGTGTATTAATGACAAGGGGCAAGCCGGTGTTACCAGGGCTTCCGCTCTTATCAGACGTGCAGAGTTCTTTCTGATAGTAGTCGTATAGGGCAAATATATATGTCACGTATGATGTTGGATCCCTTTTTGAGGAAATATCTCCAAAGAAAAAGCATCTGGAAAGGAAAATTTTAGGTAAAAAGGAAAAAAGACTAATTCTGAATAAATCAATAGTTCTCTTTTTTCTTAAGTATATAAAAATATTTTTGCTAAGCAGAGTTAAATTCAAATGCATTTCTTCAATGAAATATGACCTGTGTATGGAGAATGGACTGCCTTCAATAGATGGCAGATTATATTAAGAGGTGCTATAAGAAATTAGAAGTTTTTACAGCAAAAGCCTGGGATAATAAATTGAACTACAATGAGACATTATCAGATTCATTTTCCAGCAAAAGCGTCAAAACTAACACTGGATAGGACCATATCTTGAGGTTTGTCTATACAAGGGAAGCCCTACGAATCACTGAAACAATGGAAGGATGGCCCTTGATCTATCAATAGATGGAGCAAAAAAAGGGGTTTTGCTCCAGGGGTGGGCCAATTGTGAACAGCATTTTCTTCCCTGCTCCCTTGACCTTAATTCCTGCCTAGCTGAGCTGCCAACACATTATTGAGTTCATGTAAAAGCTCACTGGAAATGTTGAAATTACACTATTTACAAGATGTAGCAACACTCCATGTGCAATTCTAGCACCAACCGTATTAGGCTTTTGATCAAATTTTCATTTCCTAAGACAACATTTAACCATTTCAAAAATTCCCTCAAACTTTCAGAAGTTTCATACAACACAGAACAGTAACTTCCTGGGCGATCTACATTCAAACTTTTAACATTTATCTTGCTTCTATTCATTTTTCCTTTTTTACACATTTCATTCCCGAATCCTACTCTATCAACCAACAGCGATAGGACCAAATCTTGTTTGTCTGGATTGAAGGCTGACCAAACCATATCTACAATGTACTCAACTGAATGTGAGAAAGGATCCTTATTGAGCTTCATCAACTCTCACAAATAAAGCTCCACAAATTGAAGGATAAGTGACCCACTCCTGGGAGTGGAAAACACATGCACAATTAATTTTATTGAATTTGGCTCCATTAAATGAAGGTGTTTTGATCTCAACGTATGTTTTTAGAAGTTAGAGTTCACTTAACCATTTTGCTGATTTCTTTCTCCAAAACAAGATAAGGGTTTCATCAAGGATCCTACTTACTAAAGTAAACATCCCACCAGTTATTCTCATTTGAACTGAAAACGAAAGACAAAATTTTTTGGACTGCAGAAAAAAATTTCATTAAAATCATAAGAAATCCCAAATTTATGCTTTTTGAATGCCGCAAATAACGAGATCTGCATATTATTGTTATAGGTAATTAATGGGTCAAAATGATTCCTCTATTTCTCAAATTGAATATCTAAAAACCTGATAATGCAGCACCTCAATACACACCATACTATTTAATTAGTCACATTTAAAAACATGTGTCTCATTTATGCACCTTATCTGAACTAAATGTGAATACACCTTTAAAGACCAGGAGGTCACATTTATTCAGAATAATCAAGAAAAGTTCAAGAATGCGTACCTCTCAGGCGTTTTCAGGCAAGGAATTGCCAAATCTAATTAAATAAAAAAGAATGATTAGAGATAGAACAAATAACACATTAGAAATAGAAGAAATAACATCACCTTAGACATCACAAAAATGACATCTTTACAAAATTCAAGACAAATATATTAGCCAGATTGGTGGAACACAGAGTGACTAGACATATACCTGGAGTTATTTCGTCAATTACAGTCAGTGATAAACAACCAGGAGGAGTAAACTCTGCCTGCCCAACATCTGTATCCAAGTAACCTACTTTTTTGTATCTGCATACAGTTTTAAAATAGATTTAATAAAAAAATCTTGCATATCAAGCACTGGAAAAATCAAGAATGGATACAAAAGGAAACTACAAAATTCTAAAATAGATTAAAGAAAAGAAAAGAAAAGTACCAAACTCATTCAGAATTTAGTTCAGCATTTTGATACACAAACATGAACTAATGAAATTCACACTCAATGAATGTACATGGAGAAAAGGAAAAAAAAATTAGAAATATAAATGCCAAATATAATTGAAAGTAAAAAATTTACAGATTAAATCACATAAAAGATGAATTTTGCGCCCATTTCTCCAGAGTAGCTATAAACCCATATTGTTAATCTAGTTGTATACCCCAACTGAAGGAATTTCAGATTGAAAGCTACCCCAGTAGGTTATAGAAAATATATCACATATAATAATCAAATTCAAGAGTAATTGCATCATAATAACATTGATTTCCAGAAACCCATTTGAGCATGGACATCAAAGATTAATTTCAGGTTCAATTTTGTCTTGAAGTACTAATCAGGTATATAAATTACCAAATTCCTACAATAGAGAAGAAAAGCAAACGCTAAACCATATATTTTAAATTTATTGCAAACTCAGATAGTTTATGAAGAATATATCACAAATAATCATGTAATTGGCAGAAACCAACTTCTCATGGACATGAAAGAACGTTGAAAAGAGAAACCTGGTCTTTAAACACCATTAAGGTGTCTGAATATGTTTATAAATATATATACACACATCTATATGCATATATATATATATATATGAGAGAGAGAGAGATTGAGTAAAACCTTTTAAGGAGAACGTTGAGGAGGTAGCGGGAGAAGGTGGTTTTGCCGCTATTTTTGGCGCCGCAAATGAAGGCAATCGGAGGCGGCGAAGTGATTGAATCGTATGCTATGGTGTCCGCAGCGTCGCACCACTCCTCTGGAATGAATAATGGAGTTTGTGTCTCTGAGACTGAAGCCATGACTCTCTGTCTCTCTGTTCCTCTTCGTCTATGTATGATATCTTTGTCTATACACACATACCTGTACACACTCTAGGCATGGTACTGTGGAGTTTGCAGACCACATTGAAATTGTGATTTCGAATTATTCGCCAATCGAACTGCCACTCTGACACACACTTCTTATTGAAACTTTGAAGGTCAAAATTGTCAACACGTATCTTCCAAAAAGCAAGATTCATGAAACTATTAATATATAGTATTTATTAGGGTTAATTGCAGTGCCAATCCTGATGTTTTGATCAATATCACTTAGATGCAAGTTAATGTTTTACTTTACAATGACACCCCTTAGGTTTTAAAATCTTGCATCCACAAACCCCTATCGACTTATAAAAAGACCTAATATTTCGTTTGGTGTGTAGGAATAAAAAGAAATAGAATGTAAGTAGTAATGGAATGATAATGAGAATGGAATAAAATGGTTATTTTCATTTTATTGTTTGGTTACAAATATGAAATGATATACAAATGGAATGATAATAATCATTTGGTGTTTGGTTGGACCAATTTAAAATCTAGAATGAAATGAATTTTAAATTAAATTCTCCAAAATACCCTCTCAGTGACAAATAAATTAAATTAACAAAATAAAATTCATCTTTAATTTTTTTTAAAGAAATGGTAGCGACGGTGGATGGCGGGGACAATGGTGGTGGAAGTGGAAGGTGGCATTGATGTAGGTGGTGGTGTTGGAAGGTGGCAGTGGTAATGGAGGAGGAAGCCGGTGGCGATGGTAGCAGTAGAGGGCAGTGGCGATGGCGGTGGCGGTGGTATAGGTGGAAGACGATAGTGACAGTGGTAGTGGCAATAACAATGGTGGAAGGTGGATGAGGTGGTGGTGGAAGGTCGTGACTGTGGTGGAAGCTAGTGGTGGTGGTGGAAGGTCGTGGCTGGAAGCCGGTGGTGGTGGCAATGACGGTGATGTAACACATTGGAGGTGAAGGTGGTCAAAGGTGGCAGTGGTGGAAGGCAGTGATGGTAGCAATTGTGATGGTGGGAAGTGGTGGTGATGGAAGGTCGCAGTGGTGTATGTGGTGGCGGTGGCAATGACGATGATGGAAGACGTTGGTGGTAGAAGATGGCAGTGGTATATGTGGTAACGGTGATGGAAGGCGGCGGTGGTGGAAGGTGGCAGTGGTGTAAGTGGTGGTGGTGGAAGTGGTGTAAATGGTGGTGGTGGTGGTGGTGGCAATGGCGATGGTGGACGGTAGTAGAGCTGGTGATGGTGGAATGTGGTAATAGTGGGCGGTGGTATAAGTAGTGGTGATGGAAGATGGTGGTGACGGTGACGGTGATGGTGGTGGTGGTAACAACTGTAGTGAAAGGTGGTTGTGGTGAAAGGCGGTGGCTGTGACAGTGGTGGTGGTGATTGCAACGACGCTGATGGAAGACAGTGAGGCAGTGGTGGTGAAAGGTTGCAGTGGTGGTGGCAATTATAGTGTGATAAGCGCCGAATATTGCATATTCAAGTGCCCTTAATTGCATAGTTAAGTCTATTTAGCGTGTTAATATATTATGTTTTACAGGCTTTGTTGTATTTTGTCTATTTTCAGGTCTTATCTCCAAAATGGAATAAAACAATGCTTTTGCGGGTTTTTAATGAACAAGGTTCATGGTGAGCTATGGAAACCAACAAAGTGGTTCTAAGTCTTTGAGTTTGAGGAAGGAAGTTGACCAGAAAAGCTAAGCAAGAAAGAAGAAATTCCACCTTGAAGAGTAAGGCTGGCGTACGGATGTAACCTCCAAGACCATTCTTGGCTTACGGACGCCCTTTGTAATCGAGGTTGACAATTGCAAGTTTAAGTTAAAATAAAATTCCAGTAGCCAAGCAAAATAGCGTCTGGATGCCCAGCTTTATGTCCGGACACCAAGTGCCAGAGGCCTTACACACCAGCACCTAGCGCGGGCCTAACAACCAGCTTGACAAGCTACGTCCGGAAGCCCATCCTAGTGTCTATACGCCAACCTGCGAGTTAATGTTGAATTTGAATTTTTTTAGTTATTTTTCTCTCTTTTATCCAACTTGAATGCACGAGTTTTGGGGGGATTTTGACTGATTTTGGCCAGAAGGGGTGTTATACAACTCTCTATGTTATAATATATATCATCTATCACACATCATCTATCAATATAGAATTCAAATTTTGTATACTTTTAGAGAGAAAGTAAGGAATAGTTAGGGTTCTTGAATGTTCTTGAGAGGGGCTGATATGGAGCTGAAGATGGAGGCTTCCTCTTCAACCATTGGAGCTTCAACCACCACCAAGATGAGCTAAATCTCCTTGTATGGGATTGAGGTAGCCTTCACCGATTTAAGCATGTAATTCTTTGTATTTTAATTTGGGGAAAGATGATAGTTTATATTGAAATTAGTGTTTTTACATTACATTGATGTATGATCTGTACTGAATTCATATATATAAGTATCCAAAAGAAGCTTGGATGGTTCCTCCAACTCGAATTGTAATGAGCTCCATAGGGATTATTCCCTTGGTTAACAAATGTATCATTGACTTGCTCATGGTTTTCACTAGGCACATGTCCATGGGGACAATTGGAAGTAGAATGTAAAACAGTAGAACAAGCCATGCATGATTCATTAGAGTTGCGATGAAAATGGTTAAGGCAGGAAGACATTTGATTCGCTGAAGTTTGGTTGATCAAAAATTGATTAAACATTTGAGATAAGGATTTCATTTCGACGGCTATGTCATTGGAATTGTCAACTTGATATAAGCTAACATTCTTTCTTCCACCTAAATTTCTACCATTTTTAGAAGATAAAAATCTATGCATTGAATTCTCATTCATGCTTTCATACAATTGCCAAACATCATTTTCATGCTTGTCAAGATAAGAACCACCTATAGATGTATCAACCATACCTTTGTGATTATCTGGTAAACTTTCAAAGAAATATTGAACTAGTTACCATTTAGGTATGTCATGATGTAGGCACTTCCTAAGCAAGTCATTAAACCTTTCCCATGCCTTATGAAACATTTCCCCATCCCCTTGAGAAAATTCACGAATGGAAGTTCTCATAGCATAGGTCTTTGATTCCGGGTAGTACTTCTTCAAGAACTCTTGTTGCATTTCTGCCCAAGAAGTTATCGAAAAAGGTCTAAGATTGTTGAACCAATATTTTGCTTTGTCTTTAAGGGTAAAAGAAAAAAGTTTGAGTCTTAAAACTTCTTCTGGCATGTCTGTGTATTTCACGGTGGAACACACTTCAAGAAACTCATCCAAATGCTTGTACGGTTCTTCACTTGGAAGTCCATGTTAGTTAGGAAGCATTTGAATGGTTTGCGGTTTAATCTCATAGTGATGTGCTCTAAATGGGGGAAATTGAATGCATGTGGGTGTATTATATTCATTAGGCACATAATGGTCTCTTAAAGCAAGAGGAGGATTCACAATTGGTGGTGCTACATAAGCACCTTGATTAACTTGAACCATGGGAGGTTGTGGAGCAAAAATTGGCCGAGGCATTCCCAATGGAATTTGGCCTTGTTGCTGTGGTGGAATGAATGGTACTTGAATGTTGTCATGATGCACATTAGGGTGGAGGATGCCTTGTTGGTCTATGTGACCAAGGTCCTCCACTGGTCGTCATGTTGCTCCTCCATTAATGAAATGGAGTGATGAGAACTACCTCATCCCATTGGATTACGAACAACCGATTCAAGATATAAATTAGGAGGGACAAGAGTAGGATTTAATGACCTATGACCATGCATGCACTAGCGAAACAAATAACAAGTAACTAGCAATCACTTCGCCCCCACAACAAATCAATCAATAAACATTCTCCACAAACATTGGTCCCATACTCCCATGTTTAAACAATATGCAAAGAAAAGTAAATTGCCTCCACGTGGGCTCACGATTTATCTAAGAATGTAAGAACTTGCCACCACGCGGGCTGTTGTTGGTTTCCTTGATGGAGTCGCCACAACCAACAAAGCTTGAAAGTTGTGTGTGAATTTAGGAGGTGGCCAAGTTTTACATTTATAGAAAGCCACTATTACCTTTCTCTATATAAAATATAGATAGGGCGAGTAGGGATCGTCCCAAGGGATTTGATGGTGTATCGAATTGTGAAACTATGGTAATTAGGGTTAGTAGGTCGAGTGATCACACAATTGGTTGGTTGGTTGATTAAGCTAAATTGAATTCAACTAAATAAAATAATATGAGGTAAACAAGAGAGAGAGAGGTCTTGGGGTGTAGAGATCACCGCCAAGCAATACTTTTCTATACTACTAACAAGTGATCAATTGAGGGTAATGGATGTGTTGCAATATGATAATGGTGTGTGTGCATTAGGTTGATTCAATTGGCAAGGATGACAAATCAAGCAAGTATTGTCTAAACATCATGTAAAGAGCACAATATATCTAAACAATAGAGCATATATTGTCTAGACAACATGGGGATAGCACAATAGATCAAAACAAGTCATTAATCCTTCATTAAGCTCACAATCCACATGCAACACAATGTTAGAGGAATATGCCATTTGGACTCACAAGCATGGAACATCAAATATCAAGAGTAGATTCTCCTCCCATCTAACATTACACTACCACTACACTAAATCTACACTACTAGCATGAAAATAAAGCTATCTAGACTAGGGGAGAGGCACAAACCATCAAGAATAGGCATAAACCATCAAATGAACCAAAATAGCATTCATTAAGCATATCATCTTGATAATCTCTAGATCTATAGCATCAAAACACATAGACATGCATCAAAAACACTAAATCTAGAGATAAGCACATGAATATCCTACTCTAGCATACATAGACATATGGATAGAATATAATAGTCAATTGGAAGCATTAAACCATACAAACCATGAAATAATCAAGATTTATATATACATGAATATCAAGATGTATCATACAACACTAATCCCTCAATAATACACAAGATTAGAGTATAGAAAGCATGCTTGGGGCTAACTCTAGCCCCAAGAAGATGTCTAGCCACTCATGGTAGTGATGATCCAACCCTCAAGGGCTAACTCCATGGCTGCTCCTTGTTGGTGAAGATCTCCTCCAATGGCTGCTCTAGCTTTCTCCCTTCTTCCTCTCCAAGAAT